ATCTCTGTTGCCTTTTATGTCAGGGGAAAATGTGAGAAACAATTGTGTGTTTGGTGTGACCGCAATGTTTATCTCTGGCAACCACACAATTTATTCCTCATATATTTTTCTCTAAATAAAAAATAATAGAGATATTTTAATTTAATGTTAGGTGTGACTCATCCTTTCTCTCTCTTTCTCTATATAGGCATATATTGAATATATACATATATATTCCATGTTAGAAGTTTAAATATTTGCATTTAGAGGAAAATAGCAATAGAAAACAATAAGAATGCCTAAGATTAGATACGTGTCCGGCAATTGGCAGTTTTATCTTGCTTCTGGATTCTCTCCAAGTGCTCGTCGATACCTATTTCAGATGCTTGTACTGAGAGAAAAAGTTTTATTAACTTAACAAAATACACTAGTACGCGCAACGAATAGTTTGTTGATATGGAACAGTAAACGAACTCGTTGTATGGGAACAAATGATTTGTTACCTTAAATTTGCTGTTCTAAGCAACACTTCTGTAATGAAGACATAACTGACCTGACATAAATAGACGAGAAATGTGATTTGTATCTCAGATAATGTGTTTGTTAAAATGACGAATGATGAGAAATGATTTGTGACGGTGACTGTCCGATCTGTTTCCCTAACGATCATCAAACAGCAAACGTGCTTTCGCTCTGATCACCGAAGGATTTTGCTCACTGCGCATTTCTCGCGATCGATCCCACAAAGTGCGTGGTTAATCTCGATAACGGGAAAAGAAGGTTGAAAGGCTGGAGGTGGCGCGTTTAGTATTTCAACGTTTTCCTTCCGACCATTTATTTATCTATTTATCCTCCGTATATAGCGACGCAGCGCTGTGAAATGGTGAAAACAATTTTATCTGTAATTCTCTCTGAAATAAAATGTGTACATCCGAGACACTTTGCGCGCGGCGCGATACAGTCATACGACGACGAGATAATGAGAGGGGCGATTTTTGTTCTATAACAAGTGGAAACTCCTGGATATTTCATTATACGCAAAGATAACGAGTGGGAAAAAGTGTTTAGACAAACGATTACCGTTATACATATGTATATATACGGTGGATACGGATTAGCGAGGAAATTGATGGCCGACGGCGAGACAATAAAAGCGGACAATTAAATGCGTAAGACGAGGGACGACCCTTATCAGGACCACGTGTGCTACGTGGTGTCCTCGTGCGCTCTCAATCCATAGCATTTGTGGGGGCCGCTAATATCCTTCGCGGGCGTGATATGTAAACGTAACCCACATTCGGCAGTACGTAAATATTTATCATCCCGGATCCTACCAGCTCGCAAACTTAATGAACTGCCGTGCTAATCTAGTGGCCGGCCGTAATGAGAAGCCATTTCGCAGTCATTGTTCTGTCGCGAGAGCTGTTGGTTCGACGAATTAACGTTGTTACTTAGCGCGAAAGCGTCATTACGACTATGACGTAAGCGTGGGCGAAAGAGATGGGTGCATCGTCGTAATAACGCGCGTTAAGCATTATTGTGTTTACTGAGAGGCCGAATAATCTCCCGACTAGACTCTCTCTCTCTCTCTTTCTTTTTCTCTCTTTTTTTCTCTCACTGACTTGGCGCAGATCTCATCTGAAATCCAATTTTCAAGATGTATGAAAGTATGTCGCGATAAAACGACGGTCACGTGCGCGTACAGTGCGCCACGGAAATCCTGATCGCCGGATTTACTTAGGAACCCGTGATCTTAGACCGCGCAAACAACAACGGACATCGCGTGCTGATAAACGACGTCATAAAACGGTGCTGAGTTCTGGAGGAAATGACGCTTAATTCGGTGCCAATTTTACGACGACATGACTGTGGGCGACGACGACGACGACGACAGACATCGATGACGGTCTGCGATCTTAATCGTTTACTTTATGAGCTCGTAAAATATGGCATTAAGTTCTATCGCCGGCGCTAAAGAGCGCCGGAAAGCCACCGTTCGCGCTGGCCATACCGGAATTCTCCTGTCATCGGTTATGTAATTGGACAGCTTGACAAAGTTAGCAGCGCGAGGCCGAGTCGCGGAAAGGCTCGAAATTGCACGATGTACTCGCGTGCTTGAATAATGAAGAATAACAGAAAGCGAGGAAGAGAGAGGAGAATAAGGATGTAAAAATTTGAGAGTAAAAATTTGAAATAACGTTGATATATGTGTAATAATTAATATCATTGCAATCATATTAATAATAATTAATTATTATTATTATAATTACTAATTAATAATTATAATTATATATAATTATGTAATATTATATAATTAATTTTGTTAATTATATATTATAATTAGTATAATTAATATGTGACTTTGATATTTTTAAATGCGAACGAGATATTTTTTGTTTCAAGGGAAGATTCTGATATAAGATAACTGAAGAATAGGTTTTTACGAATTTTTTGCAAATTAGTGAATACAGAAATCAATATAGGAGTTTAATCATACTATTTGTCATTGTTTCAAGTACACAAAAAAATTATATTTCTTATTTGAAAACTATTTAAATTCCGTCATCAAAGGTTTTTTGTGCTGAGCGGGCCTCCAACTGATGGACAATATTGCAGTTGGTGTAATAATTTTAAACAAATAGGACAAAAAGATTTAGAAATTGTATTAAATTTGCCGGAAAAACTCTTTGGAAAATCTTCAAAGTCAGTATCTTTTCCGGGACACTAAATAAAAAAAGGAAAATAGGAAAAGTGACATATGTAACTTTAAATAATTTTATTGGATTTCGACTTCCAGCAAGTATTCTCTAGAAAATTTAATACAATTTTTTACGTTTTTTTACATAAATAGTAGAAACCTGAAGTGATATCTTTATATTTTTTTTTTAAATTCGTGATAAAGATACAGTATTTCTCGGCTATCTTGAAACCAGAACCTCCCCATTTACTTTATATATGTTGAATGATAATTTTGAAGTTCCTTGAGAATGCAGTCGTTTTCTTGTTTCTACATTTCATTTAACGTGGATTATGCAACAAAACAATCTTGTGACGACTATCTGACGATGGAATAAAAAGAGGAAAACAGTATCAAGATATCTTTCAAGGTGTCCGTACCAAGAACCTTTCGAGATATCGCGCCATGTCACTTTCCTCCGTCGATATGTCTGAAATTAATCGATCGATGATTTAATCATGATGTAACTCGTTGGTCACGGCGAGAGGAACGAGAGAAAAACGGAGGAAATTTCTCGCCTCTCGTGCGGAGCAAGATCGCCGCTCGATCATCCAAGAGGATGCGACGGCGTCGCGGTGTGTCACTCGACGGCGATACGAAAGCGGAAAATCGACTCTCCGGTGCCGACTTGGCACGTTTCCCATCTCGTCGGGGGAACGTCGAGAGGGAACGAGGAGAGATGCGCCCGGGTGGTCCTCTTAATTAACTTGTTTCTCCGCGCACTTGAGTGCGTGCGAAAGACTACGTGACGACGTTCGCAAATCTGCGTGCATTAGTCCTTTCGCGCATCGCATTAAGTCGGCACGCCGCGACCGCTCAGTTCCTGCTTTCTCGCCTCAAATCGGCCACGCGTTCAATCAAACTTCCTTGTCGGCTTTGCTGAAGACGTGCAGAGAGGGGCGTGGAAGAATGATCGTCGTGCTTCGACCGCGATCGGTACCGTCGCTTTGAGACTGCGGGTCCGTTGACTTTACAATTTTACCTCCAAGATTTTCGCCCAACGTTCGTAAAATAATGTTATCTTATAAAGAGGATCACGGAGAGAAATGCTTCAGTTGATTCTGCAAACCTATAAGTGGCTGGGCAAAATTGAACGTTATAATTAAGTAGAGGGAAGGGAGAGGGGGGAATTTGTTAGTGCAGCAAAGATACTAGATATGGAAGCGATTGTCAACTCGCTCATAGAGCAAACTCATTTTTATTGATATCATTTTAATCACTGCGACAAATATTTTCGCATTTCGAGTTAATTGAAGTTTGCGAACTGAATTCATTAGTCTCACTAGACAAATCATGCAATTGTTCAATGGATAATGAAGAAATATGTGTGTTCGTTTTATGGGGAGAAATGCGGCCTTCTCAAGTCTGATTGCAAATGTTCGCGTAATGAGAAATATGTTAGATATATTATGCATCACGCAATTTTAGTTCGCCTCTTCATGTTAATAACTGTATATATTTATAGTATAACATATTGGTATAAATTGGTATATATAAATTTTATATGCACATTTACATTTATAATATTTTATGATATTATTTGAATGATTGCAACACAAACATTTATGTTTAATTCGATATTTCAACGAGCACCTTTGGCTTAATTTCTATTCTATTCTATTCTAATTTCTATTGCTGGAGCAACGGATAATTTAACTATATTGAGATCCATTAATGTTCTTTAATAAAACATTCACAAGATTAGTTGTGAATGTCAAGCAATATTTTCCATTAGTTGTGGAATAGAATTATTTGCTGGGCTAGTGAGGTTTTTTTCAGTTGTGGCAGCAAATCTTTTTTGTCCCCATAATTTCATCGTGCGAGAGCTGTGAATCGAGAGGTGCTTTAACGTATTAAATATGTCATGGAAGATAAATGGTCTTTTCACGAAAGGTATCTGCCTTGCAATCAGAGATATCGTAGTAACGACGTAGTTGAATGACACATTATATGTCTCGTGTATTTCGCGGCGGATATCTGGGAAATCTCATCAGTTCGTAATTTGAAGTATCAGTTGTAAGGAATCTCTCGCATTTTGTGTTGCATTTTACATTGCATTGCTGTGTTCGCTCTTCTCTTCTCGTGGCGCGTTCGGCGGTATTCTTACGCGAGATATTCAATCGATGGAATCTACTCGATATCGATACGAATAGATTCGCGTTATCGTGACTTACGTCACAACACGCAGACACGCAGTATTCTTTCTTTAGCTACTAAATAATGTCTTTAAAGTACTCCGTAATCTAATCTAATCTAATCCAAGATTGCGACCGGTTTGTTCCAGATTGTCGTACCGTCCGAGGAAGGAAGCGAGAAAGAGAGACATGGCCCTCGTTTTCATGAGAGAAGAGGGATCTTCTAACTCGAAGTGAGCATCGCGCTCGGATTACTGGACTTTCTTCGGGGAGAGAAGTGGAGGACGAAGCCTTCGGAGGAGAGAGACGCGTCGGAAGAAACAAGAAGGCGGGGACAAACGTAAGGTAAGGTAAAGTCTCTGTCTCTTACGTTTAGCGTCACCATTAACACCTCCGTATATCGCACGACTCTCAGTTCAGTCTCGAAAGTTGCACGCAACAGAGCCGAAAGGCGATAAAAAACGACGGCATAGACGGCAATAAGACTGTTTCCGCGCGATAACTTGATTTATAACAGAGATCATTTGAATTTGTATAAATAGTGCATAAATTTGATTACTAATCGTGCTGCATTAGTCAGTACATTAGCGTTATATCCATTATGTTAATTGCATAAAATACCGTGAGAGAGAACGTTGAATGCTGCAATTGCCACCTTACCTCACGGTTGCGCACCGCGTAGCGTGGGGTAAGCCGCTGACCAAAACTACTGTTTGCGCAGTAATTCCCCAGTATCCCGGTATTTAGACATTAATCTCCAGTAACACATTCGCACACATACACACACATATACGCACAAAGCACGCGCACGACGGTACACTATCGAATTAGCAGCGGCTACTCGACCTTGCGTGCTGAGATTTTCCCGGCGGTTTATCCCTTTAATATAACGTACCTCGCCACGTGCGCGTTTAACTTCTCATCTTGTGATGGAAAACACTACGAATACGAGCAATGTGACATAAGAAAATAAGATACGACGGAAACAGACGCGAAGAAGCTTCAGCCCGATCAACTTTAAAATTGCGCGCGCATACACGAAGAGAATGTTATGGAGTTTTCTTTCTTTTTAATATAAATTCTTTTCAATTTTGCTATGTTTTTAGCAGTCCAGGAATAGACCGTCAATAAGATCTATCTTGCTAAGAAACATAGTAAATTTCGCTAGTGCATAGCAAGTGTTTAAGCGTTTAAGACTTCTGTGTCCTCGCCGCGGCCATCTTGATTAATAACGTCAGAAGCGAGAAAATGTATGCTCAAAATTCTCGCGGAATATGCCGAAATAAAGAGTTATGTCCATAAAATGATCAACTTGTGATCGATTTCACATTCGTGAAATATTCCGAAAACTTTCTTTTTTCACAAAAAATCAATAAATAGCTGCAAAATGCACGAGACGAAATCATGAGGAAGGATAGGCTAAAAAAAGAGTTGTACATCACGTTAATTTTATTTTCTTTTTATTTATTGATAGTTAGAATAAGAGAAAAGTTTTTGGAATATTTTACAAATGTACTCAATTGAATCCAGAAGTTATTTTACGGATATCTTTCTATTTCTATTTCAGCGTATTTTGCAAGAATTTTGGGCATGCGTTTTCTCGCTTCTGACGTCAGTAATCGAAGGTTCCACGACGAGGGTTCGGGAGTCTTAATAGTACATTTTCAATTCCTAAAATATAAGTAGCATATGAAATGAAAGGATAGAATAAATTACTGCAGAATGTCAATTTGTTCCTGGGTCACAAAATCCTATAGTATTTTTTATTATTCTCTTCGTGTAGGAGCATTAAGTAGATGGTACACGAAGACAAGCATAAGCAGTAAGAAAATTAGTTAATCACAATCGATTATCCTTGGACCGTGAAAAGAATTGCCAACTGTGGTTGATCAATTTGCTTACTGCTTTACCGTTTAGTTTTATAGCTTACGTTATTCATCGTGCTGCTGGTCTTAAAAAAAAAAGAGAAACAATTTGTGGAGAGCAAATACAGACGCTCGACTCAGAGAGCGTTGTATCAGTCGGATATAAATAAAATCACCGCGGGAGTATTTTTTTCTTTTTTTCTTTTTATCGCTCGTTATCCAATCGGTCGCTCTCTTTCTTTCTCTCTCTATTTCTTTCTCTCTCGCGCGCGCGCGGGCGAGCGAAAGTGGCCTCTTAGGTCTCACCCGGTTACCCCCTCGAGTTTCCGTTCGTTCCACCATAATGGACCGCTTCTACGGGATTGCACCCGCGGGATTTATATGGGGTGGCGCGGCGGTACACATTCCGGCACATTCCGGTACTTACCACTTCCCACGACCTCTCGTGGAAGTGCCGTGCCAAATGGAGAGCTCTCTGACGATCTAAAAATAGTGTCCGCTCGGCGGCGAACGCCTCGTCGTCATGTGCACCCTCTGCGACTAAGGACGACGGAGGATCCTTGTCGAGCCGTGTCTAACAGTGGCTGACTGGCTGAGTTGGTTGGTTGGCTAGGAAAATGCGCGAGAAATGCGGCAATCGTTCATGAGCGCGGCTAAATTGAGAAAGAGTAAGATGAGTGAGGGTTTCAGAGATTTATCTGGCCAATCTCCGCGGATTTATCGCCGTAGCGTGAGTGAAACATCGCGCGATTTACGTCTGGCCCCGACGAGAACGAAGAACTGGTCGTACGTTGTGTAATAACTGTCGTTATCGAACGAATATAGCCCCCTCTCCGTCTCTCTTTTCGTGAGAAAGAACGTAATTAAAGTGACGAACGGGAAAGAAGTTTGCCACGCGCGCGTTTGCCCGCTTCTTATTTCGACTCCGCGAGTTTCTCGTGTTCGCACGTAAACAACTCTCGTGACCGATTTAAACGTGTACTTAACAGCGGAAGTGCCGCGGACTCACGCTCGTGCAGGAGTAAAGTTTTACTCGTGGTCTTTCGGTGAAATCGCACACGCTGCTGTTGGTGCGTTAGTAGTAAGGGAAACTCTGGAGATGGAGTAAATCCACACACAATTATTGGCATCCCACTTAGCCAACGACTCTCCAGAAAGATCTAGTTTGTCTTGCGACTAGCGACATCTGTCCATGGTTTTAGTTGCGTTTTAGATCTCTTTTGAAATCATACTGAGAGAAAAAGTACCTAAGAAATAAACAGTATTTATTCGGTGGATACTAATAATTTATTTACTCATACTAATATAAAATATTTTTCAAGTAAGAAGATATAGATTTTTTTAAGATTCTTCAGCTGTTTATGAAAAAAATTGTTTCTACTTAAATAGAAAATTTAGATTTAAAATATCCGTTTGAAATAAATATTAATATTTATTCGATTCAAAGTACTCACCGAATATTTTGTAATTTTTTAGAAATTTTCCTTAGAGTGCAGATAAAAGATTTAATTGCAATTCGCTGGAAAGATTCTTACTGTTGCAAGAAAAATCAGGTTCTTCTCGAGCGACAAATAATTGCGTGCTTTACTTTGCACTTGGCTTATTGTTGAACGTTGGATGTTACATGTTAATAGCGATATTAATAGCGCGATGCTCTTGAATTGCATTCGATAGCGAATGGACGATAGTGCCGGTTAAATAATTAAAATAAATAATTAAATAATTAAATAATTAAATAATTAAAATAGAGTTGAAAATAGAACATTTTGTGTTTTAATTGTTATTTTTCACCGTGGTAAATTCCATGACGCAAAGCGGTATTATTAAGCTCGCAAAAGCCCAAGTTAGCATCAGACTTGCGATAAGCGCGAGGCAAATCCTACGCACTGTCTGTCCTAAACCATTTACAATTTTCAAAAATAGCGCGAGGTTATCGCTTAAGCAGGAAAAATTATGCATACAACTGACCGTTGCAAATTATACATATCGCTGGATATTTCTCGCGGTGTGCACTGGATGTTTTTTTTTCGTGCGGGTGCTGATTTCCGAGATCTTCGCGCGTCATTAATTGTCATAACGTGACGTATCTTGCGTCTCTTGAAACAAAATAAGGCAGAAAAACTAATTCCTCCAGTTTATTTTTCCGAATTGGACAGTTAATAAGACTAATATATTCTAATTATATTCTAAATATATTCTATATATAATATATATATATATATATATATATATATATATATATATAATATATATAATATATATTCTATATATAATATATATAATATATATTCTATATATAATATATATATATATATATATATATATATATATATATATAATATATTAAATATATTCTAATTATATATTCTATCTTTATATGTTGCGATCGCGTCACACATATTAAAATAACCGCTGTTATTTATCGTCAATTACCGTTGAGTCGTATTACAACTTGCTATGGTAAAAATAATGCGTTAGCACAAGTGGATCGCGTGATAACTGCTAATTCGCGGCGCGTCCACTGAGTGATTCAAATACGTTACCGCGCAAAATTATCGTGAGGCATACGTTACGTGTTTCTTTTCTTTTTTTTTTTTTGATGCAAAATGTCGGCGGCGCGTTTATTGTCGGGCTCCCTCTCATGACGTATGCGACTCAAAGTCTGCGCGCGTCAAGGTGTTTGTTGCCAGCAGCACGAAGGTGCCGCCGCCGTATAATCGATGAGCGCAGCGTTACGAGTCTCCGTTTGCGCGCGTTGCAACATTTACGAGATATCGCTGGAATTCACCGCCGAAGGGAATACAGACGCCCCGAACTCGTCGATTCTCGGCTGAAACTTTACAGCTGTATAGAATATATCGCGAATATATTGGCCGTGCATTACTCGTGCCCCCGTTGCCCTTTGAAGACGCGACACTTGACCTTAAAACCTCCGAGAGAAGACATCTTCATTTTATATAACTCTTAGCATACACAGCAGGCTGGGGAGAATTAGAATGAGAGCGCCTTCTGGAAGATTGCACGTTTGCGCGCTGCGTTATGTAAACGATACCTCGGCGAAAGTATCGGAAGTCTTTTTTTTTCGTGCACCATAAGTTCTGGAACCATAGACTTATAGAATAGACTGCGCATTCTTTTACGAGACGGTTGATGACAAGATTGAAGAACAAGCTTCTCAACTGTCTTTTCTTATTAATGCCGATTCCAGCAATGCGCTGTCTATTCTGTACACGTCTATGGAGAAAATCTCACATGACTCTCTCTCGCGTTCAAGTTATCGTTGGACTTCGTGTTCCAAATGTTTTCCTTGGTCGTATGTAATTCGAGTCGTTGGAAATATTTGTAAATAGCGAATGCGCGATAAACAGATAATTAAAAGCTGCACTATGGACGAGTGTAGACGTGTTATTTATTCAGCGTCGTAGAACAACGCTTCTCCGAGGCTACTCGGCGCGTTCGATTGTAATTTTCCGACTTGAA